TGATCACGAGACACAGGAAAAAAAACATTCTCTGCGGAAGTCTAGGAAATGCATGTTATAAAATCTCATTATAAATAATTACGTCACTGCTCCACTAAATCAAAACTTTGCCTCAGTTCGTGTCTCAGTGGGCAGCCGACATTTGATGAACACGGCCGAAAGGGGGGGGGGGCTCAGCCCCCCCTTACTTTTTTTAGTGGAGAGGCCAGCGCCCCCCTTGCCCCCTCATCCTCGGGAGATATGTCTATGTAGGCGTCTGAGCTTGCTCGCCACTGGCTGCACTGAAGCGCGAACTTTGACCTTCTGATAGACACCTTTAACGGCTTCGAGTTCTTTTGAAAACAGGTACTCAAATTTACAACCTAACTCTGAAGGAAGTACCGGTGTTTCTTGTGACAGGAGAATACGCTTGAGTGGAGAGCCTTGAATTTCTATACCCAGAGCCGCGATGTCATTCTATAAATTATGGTTTCTCCATGCACAGCGTACAGTAATATAGATGCGCATCTATAATTGATCAAGGTCACAGTAATGAAACGTGCTTGAATAAGAATAGTGGACTGAGTAATTGAGGAGCTGAACGGGAGTAGACGTCAGAGGGTAAAGATTAGAAAAGTAATAAAGACCGTCGGCCAGAATTGAATATAATTAACCGACGATCCAGTGTCAATCAAGAATGTGACCTAAATTCCCTGAATATCTAATACCGTGTAAACTACTTTCTTGCAGCTCCAGATGTGACACACACTTATTGTCTGGGTCAGATATATTGTGATCATCCACGGCATGCTGAACATTTCTTGCGAATGTTCCTAGCGACTTACACAGCTTTTCAAAGTGGCCAATTTTCACACATTTGTGGCACTTATGTGCCTTGGTCTTGCACTGAGAGCTGTTAGCAAGGTGCTCTGCCAAACCTTATCGAAAACATTCTTGCTCTTTCGAGGGTCGGTGACTCTGATTACGCGTCTTATTGAACGTACTCGTGTCACAACGCTTATCTCTCTCATTTCAATCATCTTTAACACAATTACCTTGTTATTCCTTTCGAGAGAATTCTCCATAGCCTCACTTGTCACTCGAACATGTTGTTTATCAACAGTAATGACCCTTGCAAGCGTAAGAGGCTCTTTCAGCAGAAGCCGCTTTTGTAAACACCCACTGGTCGTTTTCTTTATCAGCTGGTTGCGTAGCAGGTCACCCGCCATGTTACTGAAAAACGCATGCTCCAACGAAACTTCTCAGTGCAGTGATGTAATCTGCCGCAGTGTCACCTGGAGCTCGTGTACGTCGACGGATCCGGTGACGTGCTGTAGTAACCTTAACCTTGCTCTTGATAAAACTTTCTCGCGTCGCTATGCGTTGTCTTTCGAGGCCTAAACAGTTGAGCAGAATGCACCTTCCGACAAAGGGCAAGTAGGTCCAAGGTACCCGAAGCTACCGTATAATTTTTCTGTGCTCGGATTCATTGCTCCCAAGGAACGGCCTGGTGTCCCGGTGATGACGGGAACGGGGGTGGTGGTTGTAGCCCTAAGTCATTGATCGTAAATGACGACAGGCAAACAAAACTCACGGAAATGAAGGTGAGACTGGTAGCACATGGGCTCGTAAACCGTCATTGCCAAAATATGTAGTGTTGTTCATACTGAGATCAAGTAATGGAAACATGGGTTGTTGTTGGTTTCCCCCGGTCATGGCTCTCACCGAATGGAGGGGATCGGCAGAGTATAAGTGAATTTTCTCAATCCACATTGCTTCATTCCTAGGAATGCTAGTTACTCAATTATGATTGTTCGAAGTTCTAATTGCCAGTTTGAAATTAGGTACTGCACACACAACTTAACAAGAAAATCCTTTATTCGCAGTGATATATGGCTGAATTCCAAATCAAACATTCCTGTGGCTATACCCCAGTGTAGAGGATCCAAAAGAAAGAGCAGGTTTTGATATACAGGCAGAGTTTTCGAAGAGGTGGCGCTAGTATGCATTTCTTGAATAAGTTAAAACGGCGACAAAATATTAAAATATGACCCATCGTTTCCTCCTGATTACAGTAAACGCACATCTCTGCTGCTCTGGTGCTGTAGATGACTATGCCCCATAACATATATGTAGAGCCTAATTATAATGTGTCAAGAGGTCAACTTATGGCACTTGTTTCAATTAAATGCTATACCAGTGACTAAAGTTCACTTGGAGATTTCTGGGCATTTTTCCCGAGGCACAGATATAACATATAGAATAGAAGGGCCATCCTCAAATGCATTAGAAGGATGCACCTACATTTTTCTCTAAGAAAATAAAAAAACCTGAAGGCTCTATTATATAACCTTTCAAGTTACAACAAAGCCATTTTCACGAGACTATCCCAAATCAGCTTCAAATCACAATAGTACAAGAGAGGTTGAAGAGTGTACTACAATGAATTTGTTGCTCCAGTACTATTAGCGACCATATCGATCAAGCTCAAAGAAGACATGCATGAACATATGAAGAAACGCACATTCCATAGAACTGGGTAATGCATTAAAAGTAATAACAAAACATATAACACCGGGAAACTAGACAGAACTAGCAAACAGCTTTTTTTGTCTCATTTTCTGATGTATGCTCTGCTAATGCTTCTTAATGAATACATTCGAAATTGTCTAGCATATTGCATTTAAAATGGCAATGGGGCAAACCAGCAAACGCACACACAGCAAATAAAAAATGCAGCATTACAGCACCAGAACTTGCACTACACAATAATAAATCGTCACTGACATCATCTAGCATACTTGCAGGCTATTGCGTCATGCCATTTCAAATCATTCAGCAGTTATCCACCATCACGATTATAGCTGAAATAGATTCGACGTAGTTTTTGAAGCTCGAAACTTGTCCTGCTCATTTATTTCCATTGCCGAAAACTTTCCTGCATATTTATAAGAGTCTGTAGTTTTTCGCCGATGAGCTAGAGGGCGTTAAAAACAATTTTTTTTCAAAAGATGTTTGTGGAATGCTTTCAATAAATTGGTATTTACGGCAAGGTAATGAATTGATGCAACTGCAAAAATAATGACTTATTTATGTATATCAATTCTTTGAGGGCTTTCCACATGAGCAAAATGTATGGATTTCTTGTAGCATATTTTTCCAGGATATTGTCTAGCTCAAAGAGCACACAGATTATGTGCAATCAGTCGGTTTGACATGCTACAAATTAAAAGTAATTTAGGTGCTCAAGGTGTAAAAGCTTATCTGAAAAAATGCAAATTTCACTTTTTTTCTGTAAAGCTCTGTATACAACAGCAAAAAGTAACCTTGATGTACTAAAAATATACACAACAGCTCATTTAAAAGTGTTATATATGAGCTAAACATAGATGCAGTTACTAGGCAGTATTATTTTTTAACTTCAGGAATATTTATTTTTTTGAAAATGAGCATTCCTTACAGCTTTTTATCTATGCAACTCAAGCAGCATGTTGCATTCACAAAAGCAATCTTCAACTCAAGCCAACTGGCCTAGGATGCAGATGGCAAACTTTGTACTATCTACAAGGAAATGGATTTATTATCTGCATTCTATTGCTAACAGAAATGCATAACAGTGAATGTGGTCAATGTGCTGACTTCAGGTGAACCATCTAGCGTAAGAGACTTGAAGTCACAAATGATATTTTCTTATGAACTTCTGCGAATGTAGAAGGCGTGTTTTACACACCTAATAAAGAAAGTTGATTCTTATTTAGTATGCAAGTACCATTGACAAAATACACTGATGAACGCAGTCTTAATACAAATTCATTTTTTTTTTCAGCTTTCAGGAGACAACCTTGCTCTTTGAGACCCAAACCCTATGATATGACAACACAAAAGGGAATAGCTTTATATTAAGAACTCAGAGGCTAGCTTACTGTCTTCTCTCGCTTGTGTTGTGGGTATTGTAGTGTTATTGTGTATTCTATACTAGTTTAATGGCTTGATAGCTCATCTCGGAGTCATCACTAGAAAAGAAGAGAGAGCTGCTCGACTCCCCCTCCCCCCATTGCTGTTCAGATATTTTTCAGTTTCAGTTATTCATAAGCATATACAACTCTACAGATACAAATACACACATGAATGTACCTAAAGTAAGGCTGACACTTTTTTTCTCCACACAACTTCACACAAAAAATAATTCTTTTGCTATGCTACGTGTCGCCACACTCTAGCCACTTTCCTTGTAGTGCACCCGTGTTGACAGTAGAACACAGATGATAACTCTATTTCCTTTACGGTTGCTTTATAGATGGCGCCAAGATTGCCGTCTACATGTCTATCAGTGGGCTTGGGCTGAAGATTGCCTTTGTAAGTGCATCATGCAGCAGAGTTGGATAGGTCAAGAGCTGTAAAAGAAACATTATATTTTTAAAAATATAGTTTAGTTTAAAAATAATACTCTCTAGTAACTGCACCTATGTTCAACTAATACATAATGCTTTCAAGTGAGATATCATGCATATTTTTGGCCCAAGCACCAAGGTGACTTTTGACGCTGAATACAGAGCTTTTCCAGCCCCCGCAAAAAAGGAAAAATCGCACTTTTTCTGAGATGATCTGCTGTACTTTCAGAGCCTAAATTATATTTATTCTTAAGCATGCCAAAGAGGCTAGCTGCACCTAATCTATATCTGCCCTTTGAGCTTGCCACGTTTCCTGAAAAAAAAAAAAAACGAATTTGGCAACTATTCAAATTTGCTGTTGTGGAAAGCTCTCAGAAAATTTATATAGCTCTCGGAGATGAGTCATTAAGTTTACAGTTACATTTCTTCATTACTTTGCCACAAATACCATTTTATCGAGTGAATTACAAATAATTCTATGAAAAAATAGTTTTTTGATGCTTTCTAGCTCAGTCGGCACAGAACTAATGACTTACAATAGGCACGAAAACGTTTGGCAACCAAAATAAACAACCAGGACGAGTTCTTTGAAAATATGAAATTTTTTCAGCCATATTTGTGATGGCCTGAAGAACGCTGGTTGACTTGGCACGTCATGACCCAGTTATAATGTGCTAACTTAATGCAAATTCACAAAAAAATTAAAGCATTTCAGAGGGGCTTATTTTTTTTTTAATTAGACACGACAACAGTGATTCAATTGACAATTAGGCCAGGAAAAAAATAGTGTGGACAATAACTATCAACTATAGTGTAATAATTATGGTGTCAATTAGAGATCGTGGCAGGTGAAAAATCAATGCTGCACTGAATATAACACAAACAACCTGTTACATTTACCAAAATTTTGCATTGAGCTTTCTTGCACTGGTTTGCAAGGCACAACAAACTAAACATGCATGCACAGGTCAATAACCTATCTGCGCCCAGTCACAAAACCAGTAGAGTATTCAGAAACAATGACTCCATGAAAAATTATATTGGGTCAGCATTCATACAACACTTATGTGTTGGTTTAAATACCCTGCCATCACTTTTTAGGCAAAGGTAATGTCAATGAAAATGTTACCGTTAACTGCAATCAAACTTATCAAGCTAATACCAGGAGAGAAGCCCTTTTGAGGGAAAAAAAAAGAGCAGCAGGGCAAAATAATCACCACTGTTTTTTTAATTCATGTAAAGAGCTTCAGAATGCAGCTATTTGTATAAACGTTGAATAATGCATGCTCTGTGAACAATTCTCTGTGTGCTTTTTCAAGTGTATTCCACATTAGGCACAAGAAGGTAGGCTATGCCAGAAGTAGCGATTACGCTTGAAAAACAAGCTGTCGATCATAATGAAGCGCAGGGACAATATGTTTTTCTGCACCAGGTAAGGCCGAAACTGCCCTTGCTCCTGTGATAGAAGAAAGAAAGCAACACATTAAAAAAAAGAGCTAATGATTGGACTACTTCGTGTTTGGACATAGAAGTCATTGCGAGCAGTGCAGTGAGACAAGACTAATATCAGATAGGAACAGACTAGCACAGGCGCAACACTATTGCAACACTAAACAAAACTGAGCAAAATTGTAACCTTCAGTGTTGATGCTGTTGAACAAATAGAAAAATATTCTTTGACCACGCATGATCTGTCCAACTAAGGTTAACAAGGCATGTTTCACAACAGTGTCTTATTTTTGTTCTATCACGGACAAATATATTTGTTTTGCATGAAGAACATGTCAAGTGCTTGGTGAGCAGAAATGGCATAAAATGGGGCACAGCAGAGTTTTAAAAGAACCGGCATACGAAAGGGAGATTGTACTGAAAGAATTTTTAAATTGGTTCATTACTGACTATCGCCACTAATTCAGACTGTGGTGATGTAAGGTAAAGTAAAAGGCTAGTTTCAAAAACGAAAACAAGTTTCTCAAAAAAAAAAAATCGAAGCTTGTTGCTGAAGCGCCCAACAAGAAAGTTGGAAGTATTGCCTCGCCATTCGAATTTGAAAATAGGGTAGACAGAGGTCAATGAGCTCACTGTTTTCTGAGCCCCTCCTAATATTTATGTCTTAATTTGGGTGGTGAAACCTGAGTGCCTGTGAAAAGATGCATGCTAGACCTTTGTTTCATGCAAAGTGCTCATCATCATCAAATCCCTTTGTAGTATCGAATGAACAAAAAAGGGAAATGCTAATAGCTCGTTTTCCAACCATAACAAAATGTTAATAATAACAAGAAAACCAATAAAAATATAGGTGGTGTTATTTCAAGTAATTATCATGTAATTGTGAGAAAGATGCACAGAAAGATAGTTTTCCTTTGGCAGAGACCAAACATGCCAACTTGGAATATGTCCCTTGCTCCACCAACTTGCTTATTAGTTCTAACAAACGTACCTAACGCAGGTGTACAAGCCCTTAAAGGTTCCCTTATTCTGTTCAGTCATAGTGAGGGTCCCATACTGTCAGACTGGATGCCCTCAGCTAGTATAAAGATTATTAATCAGCTTCCAACTCATAAAATATTACATGCTTTAGCATTCCAGCAGCCGGGAAAAGTGTTCCATACTCACTGTCATAGTTAATAGCAGTGTTAACACTCCCAGCAAGTACATGGGTCGTGTAGCCATATATTCCTTGCAACCTGTACTTCTGTGTGTCTCTGTGTTCTTTCCCTGAAAATTCAAGCTCACATTGATAAGCATTTTGTATATGAAGAGGTTTTGGTAAAACAAGTTTATTCAAGAAGCTGCTAAGTCATTCTAAAGCTTTTGAAGTATTGAGCACCGACACAGTTTTGCCAATGGCTTTTTCATTACTAAAATGCATCCTTGTAGATTAATTCTGAAAGATTTTTAAACGACCCTTGACACCAAATTGGAAATTCTAAATACTCAAGTTGTCCAACAGTCCAGCATGCGGAGGCACTTATGACCAATTATTATTGAAGAGTGCTGCCCATAAAATTTTTTAATTTGGTTTTAAAGTAAGGGTGAGTGCGCATCCAAGTTATTAGCACCAATCGACATCTCTGATTTGATGCAAACAGGTTGCGCGTGACGTTCTGTGAGTCAGGGGAGTATTGTCGACAACAGAAAACATTTTGTAACAATACTGATTGTTGGCCTAGTTGGTACTTGCTTACTGACATGCTTTGGCCGTAAATAACACAAACACAAAGTAAAGAAACACTCAACGCTTACTCTGTTGCCAAACTGCTCCCACAGTGGTTTTGGCTGCTTACAGCAGTAGTTGTCTTTTTTCTATCTCAGGAAATATAATAAGAAGCCTCCCATTGTTTATTCATTCTTCACCACCTGCAGGTCTGCCGATTTTTGAGACTGCATGCACTGAAGCATCGCTCTCCCGAGCAATGCTTTAGCGCATGCAGTCTCAGGCAATTTGACACTGTGTGGTGCTTGTCTCTCACGATACTTAGGTGGGTGTTTTCAATCAACACAATATCATAATGCACTAGTATTGATTATACAATCTGTTTCAATGTCAGTATTACCACAAGCAAAGCTACAAATTCTTGTAAAAAAGTTGCAAACATATCTTTCGCTACCAGGAGTCCTTAAAGGGCACGCGCATAAGTTTCCCTGAAGGCGCATGGTGGTGTGCATTGCAAGTAGATTTCACTTTGGGGAACAGGAAAGAGTCTGCTGGTGCTAAGTAAGTGCAGTGAGGGAATCGGGGAATCGTTGAGACTTCGTTTAGGTCAGGTGGTCATGTATTGGGAGGCGAACTCAAACGTTGATGCTTAGTCATGTTTCTGTTTATTCGGTTGCTGTATTATTCACAGTCCCTAAACACGAGTCCACTAAAACTTGAACTAGCCTGACAAAACACTGAGATGGCTGACATTTTGCAAGTAAGGGAGGTTACATGTGTCACCACAGTGCATGCGCGATGGAAGTGTGCCTGCAATGTAATCATGCCAGAAAAAAAGTTATTTCTTATACTTTTTATATACACATACACACACTGTCTATATATATTTATAATTTTCTGTCACAAAGCACATTTTTTTTATAGAGAAGTCCTGAGTGCAAGCCAGGCAGACCCCCCAAAAAATAAAAAGACCAGCACGGGCACTAACAACTTTCTTCTTTTTGCAACATGTACAGTCACCCACCGTTTTTTTGGACGTTGAAATTTCGAACATGCCCATTCATTCGGTCATCTCTGTGGCCCCGCCACTTATCTCATTGAAGCATTGCAAACTCAAGACCAAGAATTTGGATGCCTCCGGTGCACTGCTCAGATTTTCTAGACTACGGCTGCCTGACCGAGTGCGGCATTAAATGCCATGACCAGCTGCCCGCGTTTTTTTTACAGTAGTTTCACTAGGTTGCCAGCACTAAAAGGTTGCAGTGGCTATGGCTGAAGATTGTGTCAGGGTAAAAGTCAATGCAGAAATGCAGATTTCAAAAGCCATGCATTTTTAGGCATAACGTAATGGCCATTTTTGGCAGAGTATTCATTCAATGACTACCCCAACCAAACTGCAAGCCAAGCCAAGCCATACTCAGAATCAGCTTCTTGATCGCTCGAATCAGCCACACGTACGCACCAAACAAAGAAACACGTGTGCTGCAGCATGAACTAGCTTTATGCAACTTAGTTCCTTTTGGCATTTGAGAGTTTGCTTGTCAATTATTTCTGTGGTCACGCGTGTTTTGTGTTTTGCTCTCTTACTTGTTGCAAGGCCTGCTAAAAAGGCTCCAATGCTACTAATTCTATCTGCGTCATTGGCACTAACAAGAGAATTCAGAATTTACAAGACACAAATGGCGTTGAAAGAAGCTGTAGTAATTTGCAAGACCAAAGTAGGTAGACTTCAATCTGATGCTGCTTAGGAGTTTGAGTTGGACAACGATGGGTGAACAATGGCTTATGATGACTCTCCTGAAGGACCGCCCACACAAATGCTATGCATATTTAGCATATGCCTTAACAGTGCTATGACCTAGAGTTATGGCCAAACACTAGCTAAAATACAGGCAGACTTAGTCGCCTGTAATTGTGCTTGTGTGCAGACATGCACTAATTTTTCTAGCCACGGAGCCAATAAAGATGCTTTTTTTTCTGGCGAGTCCTTTTTTTCAGACTCTCGATTATTCAGATTTCTCAACGGTTCTTGCCGAATGTGAACAAACAGCTACATAACAGTGCATATGCAGCAAAACATTGCATACCAACACAGAGATAGTTAACAATGAAGTGAATGCATAAATTGAAAACTAATTGATTGATTGATTGATTTGTGGGGTATAACATCCCAAAACCACCATATGATTATGAGAGACGTCGTAGTGGAGGGCTCTGGAAATTTCGACTACCCGGGGTTCTTTAACGTGCGCCCAAATCTGAGCACACGAGCCTACAACAATTGCGTCTCCATCGGAAATGCAGCCGCCGCAGCCGGGAATTGAACCCGCGACCTGCGAGTCACCAGCCGAGTACCTTAGCCACTAGACCACTGCGGCGGGGACGAATTGAAAACTAACAGGTTTGAAAAAAATATAGAAGTATCAATGATACGAAGCTTTACCACTTTTTTTTTGTTGTGGCGAGCTTCAGTGCAAGCAACATATTTACTCTTGCTTCTGCCAAAAATCAGTGTCTCACAAAATTATGAGGCACAGCTGCAGCAGTATAGTTGAGATGAGCAACAAGATGTCTTCCTACTCTAATTACACATTGTGCATATTCCTTAAGTTGCTCAATTACTCAATGGCCAGTTTACCCGATGCAGGTCTTGCTACTAGAATGAGGTATCGAGTGTATCAAAAGTGCTGCGCAGGATATAGCAGACTTCATGCTTGACTAGTGTCTACTACCCCCCCCCCCCACTACTGCATATACAGTAGCACTGCTTAACAAGCTTGTTTTATACAGAAAAAGCCATAGAGATATATATCGTGGGTATTAACCACTCTCTTGGGTTGACGTGTGACAGTATGAAAGTGAGGCACCACAACTGGCTCAACAGTTGTCACACATCACCCTCTTGACTTTCTTTAAAATCATGGATTCGGTAATCACCGTTAGGAGCAGCATAGTGTAGCTTGCAGCCAAAACATAATACCTGACTGTTAAAGCTCTACTGCTTTTCACACTGACACAATCTTTTGAAGGCATCAATAAAGCATGTGATGAACAAGAATAATGAAGGCTAAATGCATGTAGTTTTTTATGAAATCCCTCAGAGAAACATGAACACACTCCAAACAACTGTGCAGTCACACCATAAAAAAAACATTGTGAGGCGTCTTCTACCGGGAAGTGCCCTGATTCTTAAATTAAGGTGGACATGTGGCCACAGCAGCCATTATATGTGGAAGTATGCTTCAAAATAGTGAATTGTTCAGCTAGTTAGTTTCGATTTGGCCTACAGGAGTGAAGGCTTGAAATCAAAAGAAGACTAGAACATGCTCAATTTGCAACGGAGTTCATTTTGAAAAGTATATTAGCGCAAAAATAAATGTGCAGGTAATGTCATACCTGATTTCCACTGAACCAACAACAAATATCTGGGTAAAAAAATTGTGTCAACAGTGTACGATTCCATGAACGGGGCGTGCTTAATCAGTTTCAAGACTTCACTGCATTCAAGGTAGTTTATTTCTTTCATTGTCAAATGCACCGACGATGCACTAATGAATGCATCTGTGGCAATTTTAATCTTTCCCACTTGCATGATATTGTGCTCACACGTGCCCTTAGCACTATCCTTGACGTTCGCCTCCTCGAAAAGTGCCTTGCAGCCAAATGTACTGCAATGCACAGGAATGTGCACCCCATTGTTTCGAGCATTCACTGTAGTTTAGGTGCACACCTAGTCCATCTTTATTGCATCAGCCTGTTTGGCCATTGTAAGCTTTGCCACAATTGAGTAGTATCTTATATACCGCTTCCGTAGCACAGAGGACAAATGGCTTCTTATTTTTCTTTCAACAGACTTCTTTCTCTGTTGGGCCCCCGCAACAGTGCATAAATGAAAAAGTTTTAAGGGTGCTATGAAGACGAAGTCTTCATTATGCTTTGAAGATTCTCTTAAGGTTGTGTGAAATCATGTGTATTTAAGGAATTACAACAATGTTGGACTTCTGTCGTGTTGGCATGCTCAGTGAAGTCACAGCCTGCTTAAAAAGGGAGAATGCTATGGCAAGGAGCAATGTGGAAGGAAAACCTGAAGTTAGAAGGTGTAAAATCTGGCAGTCAGAGCTAAGACTGTCCTTATGATAGCAGGGCTTGGTCAGAGTCATGTTGACGCATGAAGAAGCAATCCCTCTTTTTACCAGTATAGCATGGGAAGGGTCATATGAGAGGATAGCTTTTCTTTTTTTTTTGATCGTGGCTGTGACTCCCAGCACATGCGGTCATCATAATTGAAAATTGGGTCATCATAATTTAAAAACAATGCTAAATCAGAAACTGGATCGTATTGTTGTTGGTTGAACAGTGCTTTAAGCAGGGTTCACCCTCATTATCCTTTACGATGGACCTTCTGAAAAATGTGCGATCCACAAAACATGGGATGACCACATTTCCTGGGAGTATAAGCCACGGTCAAAAAAAAAAAAGCTATCCTCCCATTTGACTCTTTCTATACAACACTGGTGAAAAGTCGGATTGCTTCTTCATGCCTCAACTCGGCTCTGGCCAAGTCATGCTCTCTTCAGGTCACCTTCAGCTTCGACAACCAGATTTTGTACCTTCGAACTTCGGGTTTTCTTTCCACATTGCTCGTTGCCATAGCATCCTCCCTTCTGAAGCAGAGTGCGGTTTCGCTCAGCAAGCCTACTTGACAGAAGTCCAACAAGTTGAACAAGTTTGCTGCAATTCCCAACAATTACAGGATTTAAAGCAACCATAAGAGGATAGCTTCAAAGCAGGCCATAGACCTCGTCTTCACAGCACCCTAAAAGCTTTTCCCTCTGTGCAGTTCTTGCAGGTGAAAGAACAGAGAAAGAAGTATGTCGAAAAAAGCATAAGAATCCATTTGTCCGCTGTGGTACGGAAATGGTATATAATATACCATTTAGCTGTGGTAAAGCGTACATTGCCCAAACAGGCCAATGCCCTAACGATAGACTCGGAGAGCACCCAACTACGGTGAATGCTCGGAACAATGGGGCGCACTTTCCTGCGCATTGCAGTACATTTGGCTGTAATGCACTTTTCGAGGAGGCAAATGTCAAGGGCAGGGCTAAGGGCACGTGTGAGCACAAAATAGTATAGGCAGGAAAGATTAGAATTGCCACAGATGCATGCATGAGTGCATCATGGGTGAACCTGACAATGAAGAAAATAAACTTTCTTGAATGCAGTTAAATAAAAAAAATAATTAAACATGACTCCTTTACGGTATTGTATATTGTTAATACATTTCATTTCATTTCCTTAAGGACCCCACTCGGGGGTATTAGATAAGGGGTGGATACACAGGAAAAGGGAACATTTGAGCACGTTAGTTTTCGCAGCATAGATGATGTGTAACATTTGTCGCGAAGGATAATGGGCAGGTGGTTGAAGCAGTGAAGCAGGGAAGGTCGTTCCAATCCTTGACGGCGCGAGGAAAAAAGAAGCGGAAAAAGTGGCAGTTCTGTTACGATAATGGGACACTTGAAGTGGATGGCTTGTGCGGTGTGAAATGTATGTCGGGGGGAGGATGTAAGGAGCTGCATTGAGAGAAGAATGAAAAAATTTATGAAAGAGAGAAAGGGTGGCGATACGGCGGCGAACAGAGAGGGGTGATAAACCGGATTGTGCTTTCAAGGATGAAATACTGATGTCGTATGAGTACTGGGAGTGAATGAATCGAACGGCGCAATTTTGGACAGATTCGACATTTTTTTACCCAGATATTTGTTGTTGGCTCAGCGAAAATCAGGCGTGACTGCACCTGTGCATTTCTTTTTGTGCTGAGATGCTTTTCAGAATAAACTCGGTTGCAAGTTGAGCGTCTTCTAAGTAGTCTTTCTTTGATTCCAAGCCTTCGCTCCTCTAGCCCAAATGTAAACTAACCAGCCCGACAATTTAGTGTTTCGTAGCATACTTCCACATATAATGGCTGCTGTGGCCACATGTCCTCCTTAATTTAAGAACCGCGGCACTTCCCCGTAAGAGTAACTCCTCTTTTTTTTTTTTTTTGCTGGTGCGACTGAACAGTTGCTTGGAGTGTATTCATGTTTCTCTGGTGGTTTTATTTATTATTGCATGCATTTAGCCTTCATTCATCCTTATTTGTCCCAGGTTTTGTTGATGAGTATAGCTAGCATGAGTGCCTTTTGTCACAGCAATCTTCTGGCACTTGGGCCTTGCGACAGCTACACCAGTTCCATTTCTTGGCCTTATTCACATTGAGCTTCTTGCTTCAGTGCCTTCAGGGGAGCCACAGCACCTTCGGCAATGCTTCTTTTCATATTCACTGCATTTAAGTTCTTCTCCAGGTTTCCAACTTTTATTTCAGCAATTTGTAATGTGGTCTGTCTTTTGTCGAAAGCAGACAATTTGAAACACGGGTTGAATTCAAGCTATCATTTTGCCGTGCAGATCAACCACCAGAACAACTACATTTCTGGGTTGGGTCCTTCAAATCTTCTACAAATATTTGTCACTTGCATTGTAAAGCTGAAATTTATGACTGAATTTAGACCTTTCCACAAATACAGACATCTTCGAGAAGCAATAAATTTGAACTAGTTATCTTACTTCCATAAAGAGTTTTTCTTCTGGCAATAACAGAACCAAATTCTTGTGAATTTCTTATGCTTCAATGCCAATTATTGGTAAAATTAGGTATGATTTCTTCTATTCCCCTATGTCACTTGCCCTGAAGCTCCAAACTCTCAACATAGGATTGAAAGCTCTCAACTTCAGAGTTCAATTTATCTGATCTGCAGACAGGAGCGTGACTCGGCTGGAGAAAGAAAATCGCTACTTACCGAACTTTCCGATTCCTAGCTGCCCTTGTGGTTATGGCACATGCAATGTCTGTATGAAGCCACCACATCATTGTGGGTATTTTCCAGGAGGCTCTGTGACACAGGTCCTACCCTGATTGCCAGATTAATTGTTGCACACTAGCAGCAATGGCACTGCAGTGAAAAGGCAAATAATATGTTGACCGGAAATGTTTTTTATTTATAGGCAATATTTTGATTCTAGGACCATCTGCAGCTATCAACATTCCTATACTGCTTGGCAATAAAACATTATACAAAAGCTTGCACCACGATGCTAACATTCCTTTCACTTTGCCTATAATTATTTGCTATTCCTCTTTTGTTCACTCATGCTAAAATTGATTCAGTTTTGCTTTATTAAGAAAATAGGTTAGCTCATTCAGTGGATTTTATTAGGTTTCTTCATACACACTGTGACACAAACGTATATGAGAATCGGGTACATAAAATCCGATTCATAATTGCAAGGCTGCGTGAAGTCTTTAATAGCTTTTGGAAAGCGGACATACAGTATCCATACAGCAGACCCTTTAGATGTCAACTATTTTTACATCCACTGTTAAAAAAATCTGGTTCAAATATTTTGTTCACCACACAGATATTCGGTAGGAATTTTATTCAAGCCATGTCTTGTGGGTGCAGACAATTTTGAAATGCCATGAATAAAAATGTGAGAATTTAAGTTTTTCAAAATATCAAATAGTTTGACTACATTAATTGCTATGCATTGCATCGTGGCAAAAACCTACACTTGATACACAACTTATGTGCAAAAGACTAATATGCCAATGCTTTTCTTGCACTTAAATTTTGTTATGTCTCAATGCTATTGAGCCCCATTCAAAATGGGCTCAAACTAGGTCTACGTCTCAGCTGAACAATTGTTGCCAAGTGCCGAAGTCCTTGAAAGAAGAATGTCAAATAGCAGTTCAGGCAATAAATTAATCCCATGAAGGTTCACAGGTGTTGAAACAACACAGATATGTAATGGTAACATAATCAAAGTGCAAAAAAGTTCAAAACATCAAACCAGAGGTAGCAGCCCAGCAGGCACTACTGCAGAAAATAATTTACCAACTCTCCTGCTGCTTCCCTGCCAGGTACAGTGAATTCACATTGCCAGTAAGCTCTATATTATGCCTACAATATTTATTTGAAAAAGAAGAGCCATGAGGAAGCCAATCAAATCCCTTGCAATGTTCACTTTGCAGCTGAATGCCTTTTAATCATGCAATACTCTCTCAGCCCAGCACACATCCACAATAATACAGTGATGGAGGAAACATTGTGAAGTATAGTTTGGAAAGCTTTTTACAGAGTTTTTGAATGCTAGTGCTCGCCTCTATATACATGAGCTGTGCTCAAAATTTTCTTTGCGTACTTCATCAACAGACAGTATGATGGGCTAACTTATACACAAATCCTGCCGAGTTCTCACAGTTTTCTCATCACTGCTGCACGCATGAAAAAGCAGTCACAATGAAACATGATGGCCACAGCTTGATAGAAATGAAAGAAACATGAGTAGGCAGATGACAACTAATGCATACGTTACCACAAAACGGAACACCGATAGGTCAAGTGACATTTGGCTATGAGTCTGCATCTTCTTTCTGAAAGGTGCCAGAGTTGAGTGTCAAATATATATTGTTGCAGCAATTAAGTTGCTCACCAGCTAGTAATAAATGAATGCGACTCAAAAACACAGCAAAAATATGAATTATGACTGTAACAAACACAAAACATGCAGCAGCAAGTGATTATTGCACTGTTTAGGCTACTATTAAGAGCTCACACATTTATAAAAATGTTATTGAATGCAGCACTAACCTAGTAATGCTTGCAGCGTGTCTTAAACGTATAGGCTTAAGTAAAAGTGTGCAGACCAAGGGTTGTGTGGCAGAACGCTTCAACGTGGCATTTTTGCATACTGCCTACTGCAGTGTGCATGCCTGTCCAGTTGTAATCAGGTGGCCTCGCACAGCACTTTGTTTGACGAAGTTACGGCGCTCATAGCCAAAACATCCACCGAGTGTTGCTTTCTTTGCTCTGTCAAATCTATGCGGCTCTTTCACGCAGCTGCTTAGGCAGTGCCAATTGAAATGCGGAGCGCAGAGCTTTTTTTTTTCACCAGTTAGCCTAAACTAAGCATAGCTAGCACCATATAACGAATTGACGCCAAGCATAAAAATTAAATTTTCTAAGCCTGGCTTGCCATTGTCACATTAAGCCAAGTTAAACTTGCCTTGTTGCACCAAGCTGTAGTAAAAACTACTCAAGCATAGTGTAGCATAATATTACCAGTAAAAGACAAGCGTAAGGAGATTAAATTAGGCTAATTTTAATTGGGCATAGTCGTTTGCTGTTTTTGTGTTATTTCATGTAACGCTTAACAAAGCCGAGTTGAGTCAAGGTAAGTACATCCAAATCTAATTAGGCATATTTGATAATGGTATCACTTCATTTAGCCAAGCATAATTAGCCTCGATAAGGCAAACCTAATCGCGGTAGAATAATTGAAGTCGAGTTCCTCATGAGCCAGAAAAGAAAAGACCAGGAAGAGGCTGACTACTCTTAAACTGAATGAATACTAAATAAGCTTATTTAGGTCTCACATGTGTTGACTGTTGACTCACATGGTTCAGATGTGTTGAGGAAAAACAGATGAAGCGACGTCTCAACTTAACGGCCGCTATGCTCCTACAGCACATGTTTCAAATCGTAGCTAAGAATCAGCCTCTCTTTTCGCATTACTTTTACAAAAAAAAAAACTACACTTGAACTTGCGAAAAGCACTGTTTATGGTTAATTTCAATCAGATGAATATTATTAAACGCACGCATTCTGAGTGATCGCACGCTACAGCAAATCAAGTATGATTGATTTGTGGTGTTTAACGTCCCAAAACCACCATATGTTTATGAGAGACGCCGTAGTGGAGGGCTCCGGAAATTTCGACCACCTGGCGTTCTTTAACGTGCGCCCAAATCTGAGCACACGGGCCTACAACATTTCCGCCTCCATCGGAAATGCAGCCGCCGCAGCCGGGAATCGAGCCCGCGACCTGCGGGTCAGCAGCCGAGTACCTTAGCCACTAGACCACCGCGGCGGGGCCAGCAAATCAAGTAAGTTCGCTCTGCATGAAAGAAGTTTCTGGCCGAACGCTACACGCCGTCGCTCGAAACACCGAGCGTTAGCAGCACCAAACAGAAGCACACCAAAGCAATGCGAGGTTTTCGATGATCTCAAGAGGTGTAACGACTACCCCAAGGTGGCCTTGGCAACAAAACTGCACATTTGCTTGACACACTTTTTGCATGTATGGTCATTCCTGATTTTCCTTCCCCTCGACCGAAGCTATTAAGAGTACGCGCTTGCCACGCACATGACACATGCCGCATTCACAATTGAGGAATAGGTGTTTAGCCAGAATTTTCTTTCGCGGGGGAGGGGGGGGCACTTTTTCAAAATGGCCATTTTCTGCTCTCTATGCCAATGAACAAAAATTTGAGGGGGGGGGGCGGTGTGGCACCCTCTGGCTACGCCACTGTTGAGAAGTGAAACGAAAACACCAGAGTGGCCGGAAAACCGCCTCCGCACGCGTCAAAAATGTTCGCATTTGTTATGGGCCCGGGAAATGATCCGGCCGCCACTGCTTTCGCGGATTAGCCCTGCCATGGTGGTCTAGTGGCTAAGGTACTCGGCTGCTGACCAGCAGGTCGCGGGTTCGAATCCCGGCTGCATTTCCGATGGAGGCGGAAATGTTGCGGACCGTGTGCTCAGATTTGGGTGCACGTTAAAGAACCCCAGGTGGTCGAAACTTCCGGAGCCCTCCACTACGGCGTCTCTCATAATCATATGGTGATTTTGGGACGTTAAACCACACGTATCAATCAATGCTTTCGCGGATTATTTCGAGTTTGCCTGCTTTCTGAGCGCCATGTTCTGTACCTAATTCCAGTTTTCACGCAAAGTACTGTAAAGATACAGCCAGCACTTTTGAAACTTTATTGGGGTGATATACGCCAGCAGAAACGGCGCGAGCGAATGCACCGGCAGCCACGGCGCCAGATTCAGCCGGCTGCGCACAAAAACGAGACACGTTCGGGCATGCCGACTCGCTGCTGCTGCACCGTCTACTTCAAGTGTTCTCGGCGATCGTAATGCAAACCAGGATCTCGATGAACTCGCCCTCGTCGAGGCCGTTAAGCTTTGTCGAGCTGCACGAGGTGTTTGCAATTAGAGCCGTTACAAGCCGACGCTTTCGCCGCCATTTTGCATTTGCGGCCGGCTATTCAGATCACGTGATTTTTAGCTAGTCGGCCGTGAATCGGAAAGAAGATCCGCTTTCGCTTGACGGGAAAGTAGGACCAATTTCTTCGTTCCAGCTTCGCGGCGTAAGTTTCCGGCGGCTTAGGCCGCGAAGCGAGTGAATTCCCGGTGAGTTTTGCCGCTTTCGCTCCGGAGAAAACAAATGTCGAATTTGAACCAAGCGCGCGCCTTCTAGCAACTGATTGGGTTGCCGTATCGCACACACATACGAACAAATAACGCACAAAGTTCATTCGGATTTACTTACCATGTGTCCTCCGCTTGAAAATTTGACAACACCGACAACTTCGTCCCGGCCGCCGCTGGCTGCCTCGACGAACAGAAGGTCGTACAGAAGCGACGCACTTTCCCGCGCTCCGAAGGAGTACACAAGATGGCATAGTCCGAACCACTTTCTTCGCCGCGCGTGCTTGTTCTTGATACGCCGGATCGTAAGGCGCGGTTTATGAACATTTAGAAGAGCTCTGGCGAGGCACGGGCTATTTCAAACTACTCTAATGAAATAACTTTGGCGACATTGACGATGAGGCTTAGAACAAATCCTTCTCGCTTGTTTGTTCTTGTCCAAATGGGCGTATTTAGATACGCCCTTCTCACCCACGCCATTTTTTTTTCTTTTTTTTCGCAGTCACTTCCATTTTAGACTGGTTTAATTGACATATATTTTGATTTTAGATGATCATAGCAAAATATTGGTATCAGCCCATTTTTTCTTTTTCAAGGGAGTTCGTATTTCGAAATGGCTGGAAAAAGCGCACATAACCTGCTTAAAACGCCCTTATGAGCTTAT